CGAAATAGCGGACGAAAGCTAGTTTGAAATATTTTTGACATTGTCGATATGTGGTTTCCTTTTGGAATCATGCAAGTGTTTTATTACATTTTACGTGTAAATTTTATGAAATCGCTTTTTAGACACTTTAGAATGGATTATGTAAGTTTTATTTATGTAAAGGACATTGTTTGTCTTCCTCCACTATCATAAAATACCAATATAAATGTATTAAGCAGTAGATTTTAAGAAAATTAAAATGTAATCTTTCCATGTATCATTATTTTTGAATGTATTCATAAATATATGTCAAATATTGCTTTGTTTTATTTATCCTTTCCGTATATTAAAGGGTAAATTGTAAATAAATATATCCTGTCAGTGATAATATAGCTTTTTAATAATGAAAGAATTTTTGCAGTTGGTACAATAGATTTTGAGTTATTCACTTTTATTGATGTTTCAAAAAAAAGGTTCTCAATTCGTATGTTTTCTTGTTATAGTGTGTCTAAATTATTTAGATTAGTTTGACAATTTACTTCAAATTTAGTAGGGATGGGTTGTGTAAAATCAGTCATGAATCTTATCGATATTCTATTTTTATTCTTATAGAAGTTGGAATTGATAGATTTATAGTTAAAACTTATGGTTAAAAAAACACTTTTCTCAAATTAATAATGACCATAAATAATGAGAGTAAATAAATGTCTATTACTACTACAGCCGTACGTAATCGAATTGGATTTCGCTATTATTTCTGTCATCGCTAAATTCTCTACACTATAATCAATACTAGAATTGTCCTATATCGTTAATAAGAAAATAATTTTAGTTGAGTTCGATAATTATTTAAACCGAATATCGATAGTTCAAAATTGTTCGCTGCGTGTTTGTTTCGTCACTATGATACTTGTCTATTAAGTATGGCATTTGCCTTCATACAAATTGAATTCGATACTTCATATGCGTCATTTATCAAACTAATGTATCATATTTAGACTCATTATATTATATTTGTTACGTCACTGTCAATATTGTATATTATTATTTTAAAGATATATTTTTTCTGAGTTTGAAGGCTTCAAGTTGAAGAATTTAGGATAGAAATAAAAAATGATCTTGTAAGATAAAATTTTAATCGTAGAATAAAACTATTTGAGTACATTGTCGCTTATAGTTAAGAATTAACAATTATAATAAAGTGAAGAAAATATATGAAGTATTTAAAATTATATTTATTCGACAAAACTTAATTACTATATTAAGTAACTTAATTACTATATTAAGTTAATTTTCAAACCCACGTTTACCATCTAATCGAAACCAACGCTTATCCCTTCCTTAGTAATGAAATGATTATGAGTGTAAAAGTTTTCAGTAATTTGGTAGCGATAGCCAAGTTCAGGGATTATCGCCTTAAAAGGGCATCGTTAAGGGTAAGGGGGAAGTTGAACACTTTACCCCTCCCCCACTAATGTAACACAATGTTATGAAGTTGAAAGATTTGTATTTTCAAATAACTCAAAAACTACTGGGATAATTTCAAAATTTCTATTACCATTAAAAAGGTAATTTATCTGCAAGCAACATATGTTTTTATTATTTTTAACTCCACGCGGACGTAGTCGCGCCCAACAGCTGGTTATAAACATTTGTATTTTTGTATTTTCAAATAACTCAAAAACTACTGGGTTGATTTTAAAAATTCTTTCATTGTTAAAAAGCTACGTTATCGCTGAGTAACTTTTAATAGTGGTAGTGCCCGCTTTAACATGTTAGCACAGTAATACCACGACCACAGAAAACAGGCGTGAAGTGGAATCAATTCCGTGTTTCGTCTGATGAGTGTGGTGCTGGAGGCCTAATTTAA